ATGTTCTTGACAACCCTAGAAGATAAGTGGGTGTGGCCAGAAAGTGAATCCAAGAGGATCAACTGGTGGAGATTCAGGCAATGGGCACCAAGAATGCATGAGGTAAATGGCTCAGCATGTAGCAGGACCCCATCTGCCACTGACAAGGGCCCAGAAGATAGGACTGCCAACTCTGGAGATGCTCCAACAAGAACAGACCAAGGTTCTCATCTTAAAGAGGCAAATCTACCAAAACATTATAAAGACTAGGCTTGGGCACAGGAGTACATAAAATAGACATTAGTAGAACTAAGATATGATGTGGACAATGAGATGTACTAAGCTACTGCTCTATATGGTGACTAGGTAAATTCAAATTATAAACCAGGAATGGGATGTTCCAATAATTATACCAGGACAGCAGGATAAACCAGGAACGCCATTGGAAAATGGGACATGTAATCACCCCAATTATATATTATCTGGCCCTAGTGAATCCACAGGTAGAATTCAAGTAAACATGGCTGAGAAAAAAAAAAGAATATAAAGGTTGAAAGCTCAACTTACTAGACACTTTTTCTTTTCATTCCTTTGGTTTTAATATTGAAGAGACGATGTAAAATGATCAGAAATGCTAGCATACATCTAATTTTTTCTCTCTTAAATCACAGCCAGAGGCTACCATGAATGTTCCAGCAATAGCAAGGAGACATGAAAACTCTAATGGAAAGTTATTCTAGAAAACTGAAGAGCAAAGGGCAAATATCCCTCAGCTGTAAGTTCAGCATCAAGATGGAGGCTAGTCCCAGTGACAAATTCTTCTAACATCCTATTAGTTTCAGCTTCAGAAATGGCCACACTGCAGGACTGCTACAAGATGTGGCCATGGGGATAAAGCTAAACATCATGGCCTTTGGTCCATCAGAAGCTTTAGAGACAGAAAAAAAGGAAATCCGTTGTTTACCACCAGACTGATCATGACATCCCACAAAAGGATTCTAATCGTTAGCAGATTCACTTTCTAAGAGAAAGATCTCCATGGGAAATGTTCCCTGGTCCCAAATGTCATAATAAAAGAATAAATGGATCGCAGCTCCACATGCTGCCATCCTGTCTTTGGACAGACAGTCTGATCTGGGCCTCTACTTTGTAAATGCTGTAATACTATCCTCAGAAAGTAAGCAGAGCTTTATCGGAGATCTTTTTTAAAAGACTTTTTGAGCAGTTTGACACTCTAGTGTCCTGAGATGCTAGATATTAACTCTGAATACTAATCTGGCACTAGGAAGACATTTTCATTATTAAGACATTCAAGACAATTTCAGTAGAAGTATGTTTGGAGGAAAGAAGACGTTGAGTGCAATACAATGAGGCCTTGTACACTTGTTAGCATTTCAGTGCACTTTAGGCTTATGAAATCCCTCCACCCTCTCTCTGTACAAAGCTTCTCTTCAAAGTTTACACTGGCAGGGATTTGGAGGATTAAAAATCCAGTATCTAAGTACTGGGTCAGTACTTAGTGGGTCAGTCAGGTCTTAAGTTAATGAACCTCATGCTCTTAAGCAGAGTTTGACTGCCGCTGTTAAGCAAGAAATGTCAGAGTGAGGTGAAAGAAAATGTCTAGGAGGTCCTCTGGTCTACGAACAATGTCAGCCCTCCCCACAACTTCATAGGTCTTTTCCTTTCTTTTCTTCTTTTTTGCTAACACTTTTCCCCTGTATACCACCTTATATGTTTTACTTATATTTTATTGTTATCCATGAGGTCAGGGTTCTCTCTGTTTTACACATTTCTGTATTCCCAGTATCTGGTACAAAACAGGTGTTCAATAACATTTGTTGAATTAATGGATGATGGAAGACTCCCTCTCTTGACCATATGAGTCATCCATTCTAGTTTGCCCTTCAAATGTAAAGTAACCTATTGGGAAAAGGAGTTCTCTAAAACCCTACACTTCTACCCCTGTACCTGGAGTTTCTGGGCAGGAGAGCAATTCTTTTGAAAGAAAGGAATCGGAGACACCTGGGTGGCTCAGTCAGTTAAGCGTACGACTTTGGTTCAGGTCATGATCTCATGGTTTGTGGGTTCGAGCCCTGCGTTGGGCTCTGTGCTGACAGCTCAGAGCCTGAAGCCTGCTTCAGATTCTGTGTCTCCCTCTCTCTCTGACCGTCCCCTGCTTACGCTGTCTCTCTCTCTCCGAAATAAATAAAACATTAGAAGAAAAAAAAGAAAGAAAGGAATCAAAGGAAAATGCAGAAGCTGTAGAGTGAAACTAACTGAGCATAGGGTTAAGGAATAAAGAGAAAAGGTGAATTCACACACATTTTGGAATTTAAAAAGACAAAAGCTGGGGCACCTGAGTGGTTCAGTCAGGTAAGCATCCACTTTGGCTCACCTCATGATCGCATCACTCATGAGTTTCAGCCCCGTGTCGGGCCCTGACAGTTCAGAGCCTGGAGCCTGCTTTGGATTCTGTGTCTCCCCCTATACCGGCCCCTCCCCTGCTCTCACTCTTGTCTCTCTCTCTCAAAAATAAATAAATACTTAAAAAAATTGTTTCTAAAGATAAAAAAACAAGATTAACAACCAAAAATCAAACTATAAAAAAGTCATTATTTCTTTAATTTCTGTCCTTTAATCAGACCTGTGAGTTTTGCTCCACATTTCTCTCCTTACCACAATCATTCGTCAAACAAACAAACCAAAAAGGTTCACTGACAAGTAGAGTAGATAGGCACTAGAAAATGATGGATACTGTGTCCTGAATCAAAGGATAATCCTAAAAAATAAGGGAAACCAAAGGTTTTGGAAGAAAAGACAAAAGCATATTAGTACACTATGGCTCCAAGAAGGAAGGCAAAAATGGCAGGGACTGAGAAATAGCAACTTCCCGACACAAGCCAGTTCAGAGATGCCACTGAGAGGAGGCAGACATGGAGACTCTCCAGGACATGACAGGAACAAACGAACAGCCCAACGAGGACAGAAAAAGTGGCACCACCACCCTCTTCTCCATCTCTACCATCCCCCAATCCATGCAGTTGCTTAATCCCTGCTGGTATTCAGACTTCAGTGAGGGGTATTGGGTGGCTCAGTTGGTAAAGCTTATGACTCTTGATTTTCGCTCAGGTCATGATTTTTCAGTTTGTGGGATCAAGCCCTGCATCGGGCTCTATGCTTACAGAATGGGCTTTGCTCGCTCTCTCTCTCTTTCTCCCCTCCCCTTCCCCCAGTTGCTCTCTCTCTCTTTCTCTCTCAAAATAAATAAAATTTTAAAAATAAATAAATAAATTTCAGTGATAGTCTCAACTCAGGTTTTCCTTTCCAATCCCTATAGCCTTTACCCTCATTCAAAGCCTTGCCATTTTCCCACAGGAACGCAACAACTACCACGTTACTCTATCTCCAGGTTAACCTGCCTCAGTCTGTCTTGCTCTAGTCGCTGGAGAAAATCTGGCCATTCTGCTCTCCAGCATAAAACAGGTCTGAGACTCCTCCTCAGCCGATTTGAATGATGTCCATTCAAGTTATATTTTCAAACCAGTCTCTAATGATTGCACAAATGTTCACAATAAAGCATTACTGTGATTTCCATAAGTACAGAGACAATGCTTATCTTATCCATAGCTGAATCCCAAACAACTAGCAACACTGCCTGTGCTCCGCTCCCTAAGTGTTTACTATGTGTTTTCCACAAGTAAATAAAATGGGTAAATTATAATATAAAACTATGCAGAATGCAATCTTAATAATGTAAAATATATGTATACATCTACATGTAAAATATATAAATATTATATAAGTAAATAATATATTATAAAATATAATTTATTTATAAATAAATATAAAATATATAAAATGGTTCATATGCTTTTATATTTATGTTTTTAATATATATGTAAATTTACAATATGTTAATGTAAAATATATTTATATGCACACAGAAAATTTAAAAACACAGTGAAACATTTGCTTTTTTAATGTATATATTTTTTAACTTTCAAAATTTACCACAAAAGTTTTTTTTCCTCTCTCTGATACTGAGATACGCAAAAACAAAAGGAAGAAGGGCAAAAACCATGCATCTGATAGATGAGATGGCAACATGGGGCATTATGAGAAGAATAATACCCTTATCACGCCACATGGGGTTCTTCATCTTCCAGCCCTGATTCTGTCCCACTGCCTGCTACTCCTCCGCCACCGAGAAGAGTGAGCACTGCCAAACCACATGATGTTCTTCACAAGGATACATGCTATCTACTCTCTCCCTCCACGATTCCAGTATTCCCAGTGTGGTAGTTCTAAGTTCCTGCCATCTTTTCATCTAGGGCAAAACACAATGCCTGGTATACAAAAGAAAATACTAAACATTGATGTAATAAATTAGTTAATACACGGATAAGGCAGGGACACTGAATGCAAGGCCCATTTCTTTCATTCACTCTAAAATCATACTTACCAGTAGGGTTGTTGTTGACAACTAAATGAGAAAATGCACGTAAAACATGCCTGACATACAATAAGCATCCACTAAACGAACACAGTTTTTAACTATTATTACTGTGACCATGTACAAGTTGCTTTTTGTTCTCTTAGCCAAAATCATTTTTTTTAAATTCATATTTATTTTTGAGAGAGGCAGAGTGTGAGATAGGAGCAGGGGAGGGGCAGAGAGAGAGGGAGACACAGAATCCGAAGCAGGCTCCAGGCTGAGCTGTCAGCACAGAGCCTGACGCAGGGCTTGAACTCAAGAACCATGAGATCATGACCTGAGCTGAAATCAGACGCTTAACCAACTGAGTCACCTAGGTGCCCCTGTCAAAACCATCTTAAATTATGGATGGTAATTTCTGTCCTGCCTACTCATCCCCTAGAGATGAAAAAGAGCTCAAAACAATTTGGGAAATATAAATCACTAAACAAAAACATATTATCATCATTACAATGATGATAATGATTATATGATTATTTTCTTTGTGAACCTAGCCTAATAGGTTTCTCTTTTAAGGTCACCTTACCTTGGCTGATGTTTCAAACCATCCTACGAAACCATGCTCCTTGCAGAACTGGTCCATCTTGAGGCCATTGTTCATGAGCACATCCTTCCCCTGGTCACATTTGTTGGCCAACAAAACCACTGAAACTGGTTTGCCATTAGGAAGACTTAACTTTGAGTCCAAATCATTTTTCCACTTTGTCACTGCTTCAAATGTGGCTGGCCTGGTGACATCGAAGACAATAAAGGCACCCATAGCTTCTCGGTAATAGACCCTTGTCATGTTTCCAAATCTTTCTTGACCTATCACCAAAAAGAAAGAGAAATCAAAACTTACTATAATTGTAAACTGAATCATATACTGGAAACTAATGAGGTCTGCCGTGTAGGCAAATTCCTTGGTAAAGTGCTTAAGTGCTTACCTTTAAGGGGTGAGCTAAGTACACAATCAGTATGATGTGGATAGTGAAACCAGAGTTCCAGAGCAGAATTTATGACCAAAACTGACTTGGATTTCATCTAATTAACAAAATGGACCGAATCCTATTGCTTATAACTCTATCCACTAGCAGTAGCTGAAGACAGGAGCTAATGAAGGATGGGTTTATATTTTTTGAACCCAAAGCTCTAGAAGTGTATGGCCAGACAAAGGCCTTTTATCCTGATTTGGTAATTTATTTATGTGAAGAGTCTTATAAAGTTATATAAGATATAACTTTATATATACAAATATGTGTGTATTTAATAAGCCAACTTGTCTCAAAAAGAATAAAATGCCAAAACTGGCCTACATCTAAGAATATATAGGTCAACATTTCTAAAAACACTTTACACTTAACTCTGAGTACAAGAGGTTGTGACGGTGAGTTTCAATTCAAGTTAACAAACTCTTTTGTAATTTGTGATATTCATATGGGTATTAGCATTGCAGATTGGAAGAAGAAATGATCCATAAGCACTATTGAAAACTGATTCAGGTCAAGGGTCCCACCCTAATGGTCCTATAGTGTGTGAGTCTGTGTGCTCACGCATGTATCACTGGAAAGAAGAGCATTCAGGAAGGGCCAGCACATGACGATCCCTTACATTCCTTACATGGGTTTTACCACAGAAGCTTTGTTTTTTCCCCATAGTTGTCCAGGCAATGAAAGAAAGTGGTATAATACTCTTCATATGACACACAACCCACAGATGAACTTTCATTTCTCCTAAATGAGTTTTAAATTTCTTTATTTTCTTTCCTTTTTTAGTTCCTAATACAAACAGTGATCTCCTTTGATATTTCTCAGGGTGGCCCTGACATTTCAGGAAGAGAGGGGAAAAAAAGCCTTCTGTGATCATTCAGGACTCTGAAGGCCTCTAGGCTTTGTACAGTTGTCTTATGATCCCTTTCAGGGAACTAATCAGATGAAAGGCAAAGTCATGGGTTATTCAATAATCTGCTTGTCCAGAGGTTTTCATAGTAGAGTAAGGAGGTCCTGAAGAAGAAAGATTTTTACATGTAAAATATATGGCAAAGGGTCATTTTTAAGACTAATGTAAACAAACACACAATGTATAGGTTTAATACCTTTATAGGAATTCAAAAAGGAAAATCCGTACGTGTGTGTGTGTGTGTGTGTGTATGTGTGTGTGTGTGTTTGTGAGGATATGTGTGCCAGATCAGAGACAAAGAGAAAAAAGTGATCTTTGTATACTGAGGTCACTGGGCTAGTAGACTTGAAAAGTTTATATTTCCGGTGTTCTGACAAGAGGTCACATTCAGACAAGGGCATTTCTAACACTCACATTTTATCCTTCCTTTGTCAGCTGATAGCTCTCTCTAGTGTTTCTTATTAAAAGAATGAGAACCATGTGACTTTTCAAGACTGCCTATGTATGACCATTGTAGAGACCTGATGAGTTTATCATAGGTAATCTACTTAAAAAAAAAAAAAAAAAACATAGTTCAAAAATTCCCTGTGGGGTTAGATCACTCATTGAACACACATTTACTGGATAGCTAATATGGTCCAGGCTCTGTGCTTTGTGCTGGAAATACATAATCTTTTGCCCTTGAGGAACTGCTAAACTAAGAAGTATCATACTGGATGCTTGCACTGAAAATTATCCAATTCACCAGGCAGGTTCCCTTTTCTCTTAGACTCTACACACATATCAATAGCCATGTTGATGTGACTCATGATTCAATGTTCAGCTTCCAGGGAAGTTAAATGACAAAGCAATCAACTGAATCAGAAAACTTAATACAATGGCTGCAGTAATAATTTAGATAACCTTGCTGCAGACGGCAATAAATTAAATGGTCAGAAGACTTTGGCCTTCATTTTAATCACTGGTTACCAGTGCAGCTTTAGACAATCGTATTTCTCTTTATGAGACTCAGTTTTCTCCCCTATGCTTATTATTATATGTCAGGTATATTATTATATGTCATGCATGAATTTGTTATAGCTGACTTCTTAGGTCCCTCGCTGCTTTCCCACTTTTAGAGTTAAAATATTCCTAGTAAATTAATGCCTGGCCCCAACAGCCTTACGTGATCCATTTAGTGTCACAGACTAATCTAAAAATATACACAAGCAATACAGCCATAATGTTTACTTAATGGATTTTCACTTGGTAATTAGTACTCTATAGATATTCTCAGTGGGCATAACAAAGCTGTGAATCTTCTACACAGGTAGAGAAATAATAAGAGGAAGTGTGTTGGATTTTCTCTTAAAGTGGGCATATTCATTTACCACTCCACCACTAACCAACCAGCTCTGTGACCTCAGATTAGTCACTTTACCATTCTGAGCCTCAGCTTTCCTCATTGGTAAAATAGGGAAACGGGATTGGATACCTGAGACTTAATTCGGTATTGTCTCTGGCAACCCCTCTAATCAACCTCCTCAGATGCAGGCATCCAGCTCTCCACCTCCTACTCCCTCTGCCTTCCATCCAGTTCTCAGCATCCCTGGGAACACTGTGCCCCACAGTTGTGCCTTCAAATCATCTTCTGACTCTTTCCTCACGTCTCTGTCCAAAGGGTCTCCAACATTCTATCAATGCTTCTGTTTCAGAAGCAGCCCCGATCAGCCCCCTTCCCCATCAGCACTGCTACTGACCTTAAAATAAATATAACTATAACACAGGTCTTCAGACATTCTGGCAGCCTAAGGGATCACCAGATGGGCAGACACAGGAAGGAAACGAAGTCATTATCTTAAAGAGTTCTCTGTACCCCCTTGCTCACTGCAGCATTATCCATAAGGACTGAGACATGGCAACCTCTTAAGTGTCTATCAATGAATGAATGAATGAATGAATGAAGAAAATGTGGTATATGCATACAGTGAAATATTATTCACCCACAAAAAAAGAAGGAAATTCTGCTTTTTGCAACAACATGGGTGAATGCTGAGAACACTATACTAAGTGAAATAAGTCAGACAGAGGAAAAAAATACTATATGCTGTCATTCATATGTGGAATCCAAAAGAGTCAAACTTGTGGAAACAGAGAGTGGAAAGGTGGTTGCCAGAGGCTGAGAGTGGGAGAAATGGGGAGATGTTGGCCAAAGGATACAGGCTTCCAGTTATAAGAAACATAAGTTCTGGAGATCTAGTGTACAGTATGATGATTGGAGTTAATAATACTGTATGGTACACTAGAAAGTTGCTAATAGAGTAGTTCTTACGTGTTCTCACCACATTAAAAAAATGATAACTATGTAAGGTGATGGAGGTGTTCATCCTATTATGGTAATCATTTTGAAATATATTATCATATCAAGCCATCATGTTGTACAGCTTAAATTTACACAATGTTATATCCCAATTATATCTCAATAAAGCTGGAAAGAAAAATTATCTTAGGCATTATAGAACACCCATTCCTGGGCCATGCTCTTCAGATTCTTATCATGGTAGTTTTGTGTGGGGCCCAGGAATCTTTTTAAGTACTCCCTAGGTGAAATCTTGAAACTATTTCTATCTTAATCTATTTTTAAAATGTAAACATTACCAGTATGCTGCATTGCTTTAGCCCTTCAAAACAGACATGCTTAAAAACAGACACCTTTATTAACACCACACACAAGGAGACTTTGGCTCCAACCACCTTTCCAGACTCCCCTCCTGTCACTTTCTTCAAGCGCTCCATGGCCAACCCACAGTGGAGTACTTACCCTTTCTAAAGCACATCCTCCATTACTCCCTGGAGTTTTTGTGCCTTTTTATCTGTCTGTTCCCAAAGCCTGAATTCCTTCTCCATCTTTCTTTCCTCCCACTCTGTCCAATGAAGTCCTGTATATCTTATAATTGTGCCCTGAAATGCTATTACATTTGTGCAACCTTCCCTAGCCTCCCAGCTGAAACAAATGCCTCCCTTTTTCATGACCCCACAGCATTTTCTTTATCCTACACCATTCACATTTATTATGCTATATATTCATGCTTCAGTCTCCACCACAGCACTGTAAAATCCTGAAGAGCAAGTTGATCGTATTTTGATGTTGTCAATCCGAGGCCTATTCTCCACTTGTTTGATATAGTAAAAATTAGATACTCTTGTAGAAATAAGCTAAAATTAAAGTTCTTTCTTCCTCTAAAATATGACATCATCATATATTCATGAATGAGTGCTGTGTACTAACACACTTACTCTATCTTATATTCTCATTTCCAGTAAATAATCGAAAGATGCTCATTGAATGAGAAAATTAACATTATTCCAAAAGGGTTAGGTGCATATCTGTTGCAACAAGTTTTAGACTGAAATGTTATGTTTTTGTACTCATTTTCATCTTCTTAAGAAATAATCCTTGGAATCAATTTACTCTATTAAGAATAACAAATGTTTTGGGTGATGGCAAAATCCATAGAGCTAAAAGTTTCACCAAGGTACAGATATGCTATTTATTTCTAGGGAACAATAATATGAAAAGCAGGAAGATAAATCTGAGACTAAATATGGACCTTGCACAAGGATCTAGAGGAAAAAAAATCTATCTAATTACTGAATTCACAATAGCTTAAGCTGTTTTTGAAGAATGAGTCAAGGAAACCCACAGACTAGGATCAGAGTCTGGCTGACATCCTCGTGAGCAGGCTTTGTCCAGTTTTTAAGAAACCATCTGACCCTCTTGCCAAAGTTTCAAAACTCTCTCATCTTCTCTCTTCCCTACTTTGGCCCACCAAGCCAGTGACAGAAATGTATCAATCAATCACTCTTTTTCCAAGACACCTAGGCTGATATATTGGCATTAACCATATGTCATCTTCCCCCTTCCCCCTAGCCAGAATCAAATTTCAGCA